TTACACATTGCTGTCTTTTCTTCTTCAGTCCTCAGAGAAAGTCACTCCATATCCTTATGTAATGATCCAGTTCCTGTTTCTAAGACATCCCTCGAGGTGGCCCATGCACTGGAGATGCCTATTCCTTACCTCTAACTCCCATGTAATTCTCCTCTCTTCATGCTAGTAGCTTTGGAAACAATGTTTTAAGAAAATGTAATTGCTTTACTGTGAAATAATTCACATGGTTCATGCATTTGAAGTACAATTCAGTGGTTTGTGGTATATTCACTGACAGATGTAACCATCATCTCAATCAATTTTAGAACATTTTCATCAGCTCCAGGACAAACCCTATACCCCTATAGCAGCCATCTATTCTCATCCAGTCCTCCCAGCAGCAGGTGACCACGAGTCTACGTTACCCCTTTATGGAATTGCCAATTCTAGACATTTCATATAAATGGAACCACAGGGCTACCCTGTAGCCTGACGGTTAAAGAACCTGACTATGGTTTGAATCCTGGCTCCAGTGGCTTGAGAAACACACAAGCATGTGTGGGTGCATGCCCCACATCCTAGCAGGATAGAAAAATGGAGGAAACGGGATTGTGGCATGACCATATCCAACTAGGGTATGCTTTCTCTCTCTCTCTCTCTCTCTGTCTTTCTCTGGTGAGAGTGTACATGCCCTCTGACAAAAAATAATTAAAATAAAATGGTATCATAGATTATGTGTGTTTTTCTGACTAGCTTCTTTCACTTGGCATGTTTTCTGGGTTCATCCATGTTGTAGCACATATCAGTACTGAGTTTTTTATTGCTAAATACTATTCCACTATATAGAAGGATATATCAGGTTTCATTTTATTTGATGAATGTTGGGTTGTTCCACTTTTTGGTTATTATAAATAATGCTGCTTTAAGCACTCATGTACAAGTTTTTGTGTGGATATGTTTTCACTTCTTTTGGGTGTGTAACTAGGAGTGGAATTGTTAGTCATATGGTAACTATGTTTAAACTTTTGAGAAACCATAGTCTTGTTTGTTTGTTTGCTATAGGGCATGTATGCTTGCAAAGACAGACAGAGAGAGAGAGGTAGAGAAAGTGAGAAACCACTCCCCAGGGAGGATGGCCACACTGAAATCCCTTCTCCTCCATTATCCTCCTGGCCTTTGGGCATGCACGTGCACACACGCACGCACATGTGCCTGGTGTGATTTTTCAAGCCATTGGGTCTGGGCTTGAACTGAGCAATTGGCCATGTGGGATCCAGCTATCTTAACCTCCACGCTATCAGCTGGGCTTGTCTATTTTTCAAAGGTTACACAATTTTTACATTTTCTTTTTTTTAAAGGTTTCTGCCATGGGGTATGTGCTTGCTGAATAGAGAGAGGGAATGTGAGAATCACCCCCCTCCCTGGGAGGGATGGTCACAGGTAATCCCTTCTCCTTCTCTTGGGGTTTTGGGCGTGTATGCACATACACTTGGTGTGAATTTCAAGCCACTGGGTCAGACTTAAACCACAGTCAGCCATGTGGGAATCCAGCACCTTAACCACCACACCACCTGCTAATCCCTTTTTATATTGTCAGGGACAGACAGGGAGAGCAAAAGCACCCCCCAATTGGACATGGTCATACCACAGTCCCTTCTCTTCCATTCCTCCATCCTGTCAGGATTTTGGCTATGCATGCACACTTGCCTGGAGTGGTTTGCAGGCTGCCAAGGCTGGAATTTGAACCACGGTGGGTCATGTGGGATCTGACTCTGTGAAACATGAGGCTATGGTGTCAGCCCTGTCTGACATTTGGATCACAGTCACACTAGTGGGTATAAAGTCTTCACTGCATTGGTTTTAATTTGCACCTTCCTAATAACTAATGATATTGAGTGTCTTTTCATGTACTTATTTGGTCATTTGAACTTTACTGATTATTGAAAGTTTTCATTCTAATCATACCCTATCTAAACATAAACTCTAGCTGGGGCCAGCAGGTGGCATGGGGGTCGAGGATGCTGGATTTGCACATGGCCGACCATGGTTTGAGTCCCAGACCTGTTGGCTTGTTTTCTTATTCCCCACTCTGTCCCTCTCTGGTGAAATGAAAAATAAATAAAGTTAAATAAAACATAAACTCTAGTAATACTAAGACACTTAAGCCCACAAAAATGAAAAGATACTAAAAACATGTAATTTTAATGAGTTATGTATATTGTCTGTTGAGTGAGCTATTTGTGAAGTGTACTTTGTATGCCAGGTGTTGTGAGATTTAAAAGATAAGATAATGTTCCTTCCCTCAAGAGAGTGACAATGATTTTTTGGGGACCAGCAGTTAGCGTAATGGCTATGTTGCTGGACTCCCACGTAGTCGACCGCGGTTCGCGTCCTGGACCCAGTGGCTTAAACTCATGCCGGGCACGTGTGCATGCGTGCCCAAGATCCCGAGAGGAGAATGGAGGAGAAGGGATTGCAGTGTGGCCATCCCCCCTGGGGGGGGTGATTTCTCGCTTTCTGTCTCTCTGTCTGTCTGGCGAGCACAGGTGCCCTATAGCAAAAACCTCTCCAAAAAAAAAAAAAAAACAAAAAAAAAAAACAAAAAAAAGAATGACAATGACTTTTTTTTTTTTTTTTTTTTTTACAAAATAGAAACAATTATTCTTAAGTTTTTAACCAAAAGGTTGTAGGTCATTTGTTAACAATTTCTGTTTATTTCTGTTAGTATATAATTTGGATTACAAATAACTCTCAGACAGGGATATAGCTCTGTTTAAATCAATGTGCACAGTATTTAATATTGTAAAGGACAGAAAGTTTTAAATAGTGTTGAAAAGTTATTCTTCCTTCTCCTAAGTGACTTTCAGCATAAATTCTTTTTAACTAAAAATCTTAATATTTTGAAGAGTAAATTTAAATGCCTGGAAAAAGATCTCCCAGTCTAATAATTTTAAATATGTTAATCTCATAAGAAAGGAATTTTTTATTTTATTTTTTTGGAGAGATTTTTGCTATAGGGCGCGTACGCTCACCAGACAGAGAGAGACATAGAGACAGAAAGCGAGAAATCATGCCCCGGGGGGGAATGGCCATGCCGCAATCCCTTTTCGTCCATTCTCCTTTCGCAATCCCTTCTCCATTCTTGTCTCGCAATCCCTTCTTTTGCAATCCCTTCTCCTCCATTCTCCTCTCGCAATCTCTTCTCCATTCTCCTCTCAGGATCTTGAGCATGCACGCACACGCCCCTGGCATTGAGTTTAAGCCACTGGGTCCAGGACTTGAACTGCAGTCGACTACATGGGAGTCCAGCGACATAGCCATTACGCTAACTGCTGGTCCCAAGAAAGGAATGATAAATGTGTGATAAATTTATAAATTTTGAGGAGAAAATTTTTTTTCAGCAATTTTAGATATATCTATTTAGGTATTTATAAAACTATTGAGAGATTTAGAGAAGGGAAAAAATATACTCACTTCTCCAACTTCAGCCTTAGTATAATCTAAAACTCCACTTACTGGGAATGATGGTTTATGAAAAAATGATTTAAAATGTTTCTATAGTATACATATATAAAAAAATTTCAAGGTTACTGTAGGTTGTATTTTTTTTCACTACTCTAGAAATTAAAAAAAAAAATCATAGTAAACCAAGACAGGTCCTTTATACTTACCTTTAAGTGTAAAATACACAAACACATAACTTTAATTGTTAAATTAAAAATTAGATTCACTAGGTTAACATTACATATTTTGCATAAGATTAGTTTATATCTTAAAATTCAAACATGAAATTCCCATGTAGACATTAAGATATTATTTCAAATTAGCGCTTAACTCCTTTGTATCTGTCTTTGATTGGCATTTCTTTTTTTTTTCCTTTTTTTTGGAGAGGTTTTTGCCATAGGGCGTGTGTGCGCGCCAAAAGACAGAGAGAGACAGAGAGACAGAAAGCAAAAATCACCCCCTAGCGGGGATGGCCACGCAGCAATCCCTTCTGCTCCATTCTCCTCTTGGGATCTTGGGCACGCATGCATACGTGCCCGGAGTGAGTTTTTAAGCCACTGGGTCCAGGACGTGAACCGTGGTCAACTACATAGGAGTCCAGCGACATAGCCATTACGCTAACTGCTGGTCCCTGACTGGCATTTCTTTGAGATTAGAGTGTGCAGAATCAAGTATGAGAATCAGTTAAACATGCTCTGGCAGCCTCTGCATCATTAATATTTTTAATCAACCACCAGAGTTTGGTTTTAAATTTGTGAAGCTATCAAGATTAACAGACTATAATAGTAATATCAGTAAAAATACAACCACATTGGGGCCGGCAGACAGTGTGGTGGTTAAGGGCGCTGGACTCCAACATGGCCGACCACAGTTCGAGTCCCGGATCTGACGGCTTGCTTTCTCACGTTCTCTCTCTCTCTAGCTCACTCGCTCTGTCCCTCCTTGTCAAATATAAATAACTAAGGTTAAATAAAATAATTATTAAAAAATACAACCACATAGGCCAAGATCCTGGCTATAAATTCACACTTCAGCAGTGCCACATGACACAAGGGAAATAACTCAAAATCATCTGTAAAAATAAAGGAAAAAAAATCTGCCTTTAGGGGTATATACTTAAATTTCCCTAAATACAAACTCTCAGGAAAATCTATGAAATGATAAATGAAACAAAAACATGTATTTAATCCCTTCTACATTGATATCATACTCTCTTGGGAGGTACAGGGGGTTAGGGATGTGTAGTATTGTGGAGAACTTTTCAAGCAAATAAATATAATACTAACTGAATATTAAATGAAACCATAGGATTGATGGCTTCAGAAAAGAATAGGAAAATTCTGTTAACAAAGCAATTTACCTTAAGATAGCCAGACAAGAGACTTTTCGAAATTCCCTTTGACAACACAATTTTATATGTTTATGATAACTTACTTATTTAGAGAGAGTGCTCCTATATGCAATTTACTGAAAAACTCCTTGTGAAATTATTTCTCATTGTAATTATTATTTTTTACCTGAGGAGGTGCCTTTTTCAATAACACAAGAAGAGCTTGTAATACCAGATTAGAAAATCGAGGGCCAATAGGGACATAATCTGGAAGAGAAACATGGTTGTGTTTAGAGATTTGACACACGTATTCTGAAATTCAGGTATTTCTGCATCAAGAGTAAGCGGTCATAAAACAGTAATGCAACTATCAGTAGTATGAAAAAGTATTTCCAATAACCCGAATGCTCAAAATATTATATAGAAACCCTTTTCTGTAAATTTTTGGAAAAAGCTTCCAAATGTCCATTTTAAATTTATATAGACTTTTTTTTTTTTTTTTTTTAGGGCTTTGCTATTGGGCATGTGTGCTTACCAGAGAGACACAGAGAAAGGGAAGGCAAGAAATCACCCCCAGGGATGGCCATGCTGCAATCCCTTCTCCTCCATTCTCCTCTCGGGATTTTGGGCATGCACGCACATGTGCCTGGCATTAGTTTTAAGCTGCCAGGTCTGGGGCTTGACTGTGGTTGACTATGTGGAAGTCTAGCCATATAACCACTGTGCCATCTGCTGGTCCCCATTACCTGGTTTTCACAGATAGTTTTGTTTTGTATTTTTTTTAAGAGAGAAAGTAAAAAACAAAACAAAACAAAACACCAGGCTTACTTACCAAACATTTCTAAGAAATTACTGCAACCATAACAGTATAGTACACTGACCACAAAACATGATGCTAGAGGGTGGGTAGGAGGGACAATGTTAAGTAAGAAATTTTTTTAAAGCATTATTTTATTTAACTTTATCCATTTGTTTTAATTTGATCAGAGTGGGATAGAGTGAGAGAAAGTGAGATAAAGCTGGAAAGCAAGTTGCCAGGTCCAGGATTCAAACAATGGTTGGTCATGTGGGAGTCCAGCACCCTTAACCACCCCGCCCCCTGCCGGCCTGAGAAGATTAAGTAAGAAATTTTAATAAAACTGAAAAGAGGGTAGAGCCACTAACCATGGCCCTCACATGGTGAAGAACAGAGAACGTTCTGTGAAACTTCTACCAACACTTCAATATGAAGTGTGAATGCGTTTGCCTTGGTTTTCCCTGAATATTGTATGGGTAACCAGGCCCAGGTTATACTGAGGGTTACCCGCAGGCATCAGCTTCCTAAAGTCAAAAGCGATCCTTCCGCTTTCTGACTACACAGACCACATGTTACGTTCCAGTGTACCTTGCATTAGTTTTTACCAATATACGTTATAACGGACAAGCAGTATCTTGTTGATTTTTCCGAGACCCTAATAATTACTGTCTAGTAAGTTAAGACTCGGCAAATCCTTGCTGAGTAAATGCACAAACAAGAACAGATAATAACTATTCATACGAGTGAAAATATACTCAGAGGAAACACATTCCTGACAGAGCAGTGTTGCTATGACCACACATCTCAATTGTGTTTAGATAAAGGAATTTACACAGAGCAAAGAGTATGTGACCAAAAGCAGTTTAAGAAATAATCCTATACACTGGGCTGGGATGTATCATACGTAACAGACCAAAAACCCAGGTCGCTAGACAAAACTATTAATTTAAAGAGACCTCACATGTATACCTGCTGGGTTTTATAACAAGCACTGCCAAAACTTGTGAAAATAAACAATAGAAACTGAGGCAAGTCTTAAAATGATGGGAAAATGTAGTAAGAACAGTTAACTTGAAATCATTACTACACCATTATGGGCAGGGGAAGGAAGAAGGGATTAATCAGGTGTTGAGTAGTATTTTCAGGTGTTTATTACGTCACCAAGTGGGTTTCTACTGCAATAGCATTTATTACCCCACCCTGAGGCATTGTTATAATGAATTTATGACAGACTGATTTATTTCTCCAATGAAATAGAAAGAGTAACAACACTTTTCTGGCATTTACTTGTAGTTTCCTCCTTGTGAGCTGAGTGCAGGGATTAAGTCTCACTCATCTTTGTGTTCTATGAGTACACTTCAATGCAGGAGATGTTTAGTAAATTTTCCTTTTTTGCTAATTACTCTGGAGCAGACTTAACTTTCAGAATGTTTTCACCATTTATCATTTTGTTTTTGACATTACAATGACTCTGGGTTAAGAAGAAAGGGATTACAGTCTTTGTTCTGAAAGAGTAGAAACTGAAATACGAGAGCTTACACTTTCTGCTCAAGTGTTTCAGCAAATCTGTGAATTTCATGACTTCTAATAGACTTTTTTTTTTTTTTTTTTAGGGCTTTGCTATTGGGCATGTGTGCTTACCAGAGAGACACAGAGAAAGGGAAGGCAAGAAATCACCCCCAGGGATGGCCATGCTGCAATCCCTTCTCCTCCATTCTCCTCTCGGGATTTTGGGCATGCACGCACATGTGCCTGGCATTAGTTTTAAGCTGCCAGGTCTGGGGCTTGACTGTGGTTGACTATGTGGAAGTCTAGCCATATAACCACTGTGCCATCTGCTGGTCCCCATTACCTGGTTTTCACAGATAGTTTTGTTTTGTATTTTTTTTAAGAGAGAAAGTAAAAAACAAAACAAAACAAAACACCAGGCTTACTTACCAAACATTTCTAAGAAATTACTGCAACCATAACAGTATAGTACACTGACCACAAAACATGATGCTAGAGGGTGGGTAGGAGGGACAATGTTAAGTAAGAAATTTTTTTAAAGCATTATTTTATTTAACTTTATCCATTTGTTTTAATTTGATCAGAGTGGGATAGAGTGAGAGAAAGTGAGATAAAGCTGGAAAACAAGTTGCCAGGTCCAGGATTCAAACAATGGTTGGTCATGTGGGAGTCCAGCACCCTTAACCACCACGCCACCTGCCGGCCTGAGAAGATTAAGTAAGAAATTTTAATAAAACTGAAAAGATGGTAGAGCCACTAACCATGGCCCTCACATGGTGAAGAACAGAGAACGTTCTGTGAAACTTCTACCAACACTTCAATATGAAGTGTGAATGCGTTTGCCTTGGTTTTCCCTGAATATTGTATGGGTAACCAGGCCCAGGTTATACTGAGGGTTACCCGCAGGCATCAGCTTCCTAAAGTCAAAAGCGATCCTTCCGCTTTCTGACTACACAGACCACATGTTACGTTCCAGTGTACCTTGCATTAGTTTTTACCAATATACGTTATAACGGACAAGCAGTATCTTGTTGATTTTTCCGAGACCCTAATAATTACTGTCTAGTAAGTTAAGACTCGGCAAATCCTTGCTGAGTAAATGCACAAACAAGAACAGATAATAACTATTCATACGAGTGAAAATATACTCAGAGGAAACACATTCCTGACAGAGCAGTGTTGCTATGACCACACATCTCAATTGTGTTTAGATAAAGGAATTTACACAGAGCAAAGAGTATGTGACCAAAAGCAGTTTAAGAAATAATCCTATACACTGGGCTGGGATGTATCATACGTAACAGACCAAAAACCCAGGTCGCTAGACAAAACTATTAATTTAAAGAGACCTCACATGTATACCTGCTGGGTTTTATAACAAGCACTGCCAAAACTTGTGAAAATAAACAATAGAAACTGAGGCAAGTCTTAAAATGATGGGAAAATGTAGTAAGAACAGTTAACTTGAAATCATTACTACACCATTATGGGCAGGGGAAGGAAGAAGGGATTAATCAGGTGTTGAGTAGTATTTTCAGGTGTTTATTACGTCACCAAGTGGGTTTCTACTGCAATAGCATTTATTACCCCACCCTGAGGCATTGTTATAATGAATTTATGACAGACTGATTTATTTCTCCAATGAAATAGAAAGAGTAACAACACTTTTCTGGCATTTACTTGTAGTTTCCTCCTTGTGAGCTGAGTGCAGGGATTAAGTCTCACTCATCTTTGTGTTCTATGAGTACACTTCAATGCAGGAGATGTTTAGTAAATTTTCCTTTTTTGCTAATTACTCTGGAGCAGACTTAACTTTCAGAATGTTTTCACCATTTATCATTTTGTTTTTGACATTACAATGACTCTGGGTTAAGAAGAAAGGGATTACAGTCTTTGTTCTGAAAGAGTAGAAACTGAAATACGAGAGCTTACACTTTCTGCTCAAGTGTTTCAGCAAATCTGTGAATTTCATGACTTCTAAAGCCTTTTTTCATTAGTCTGTCGCAGTTCACAAGAGGACTCCTAAGCTATAAGCAGCTCAGAGGTACTTACTAGCAAATATATCCATCAATAAAAATTAATAATCATTTATTATGGGCAGGACACACTGTGTAAGATTAAAATAATATGAGACAAGGGCCCTTACAGGAAAGCAATTTATAATGGAGTTAGGTCATAAGGCATTTTAACACAAATACTATCATTGACATCAGAAATAAGAGATGATGGTATAATTTCTTCTAAGTCAAAGAAAGGTATTTGTATTGTATTGTATAGCAAAAACAGTAGCAAGAAGAGTACAATGCTAAAGGTTATGACTCACCAAGCAATCTCTCAATGTCATCCACAACCACACAACTGAGCTGGGATTTGTATGCATCATCAAAGATCTGAAAGAAAAAAACAAATCTATTTATTATCTCACCATCCTCCATAATTATGACAATTTCCAAAATGATTAGATTTAGCTAATTCTTTGTTTTAAGAGTTATTTATTTAATTCCATTTGTTATTATTTTTTAATTTGGCCAGACAGAGACAGAGACAGAGAGAAAGGGAAAGCAGGAAAGCAAGCCGCTAGGTCCGGACCTGAACTGCAGTCAGCCATGTGGGAATCCAGCACCCTTAACCACCTAGCCAACTGTCAGCCCAGATTTAGTTAATTCTTTTTTTTTTTTGGAGAAGTTTTCGCTATAGGGCGCGTGTGCTTGCCAGACAGACAGAGAGAGACATAGAGACAGAAAGCGAGAAATCACCCCCCAGGGGGGATGGTCATGCCGCAATCCCCTCTCCTCCATTCTCCTCTTGGGATCTTGGGCACGCACGCACACGCGCCTGGCGTGAGTTTTAAGCCACCGGGTCCGGGACGCAAACCGCAGTGTCCAGTGACACAGCCATTACGCTAACTATGGGTTCCCAAATTTAGTTAATTCTTGAGCAATATCTAAACAAAGCACAGTAAAACACTAATACTTAAAGACTATTGGGCCAGCAGGTGGCATGGTGGTTAAGATGCTGGACTCCTACATGGCTAGTCAAGTTCTGGACTTGGTGGCTTGCTTTCTCACTTTCCCTCTCTCTCTCTGTATCTCTCTCTGGTGAGCACATATGTACTATGGCAAATTAATAATAATAATGATAATAAAAATAATAAACAATTTGAAAAAAAAAAGACTATAATAAATCAGAATTTAATAGACTATAGGATTTTAGAACTTAAAGATGAAGGAAATTGAGACTCCAAGCAATTATTGGGTCATTGGACAAGTCAGAATGCACTTCTCTATGTTTTTCTATGCAAAAATGAGTCATGGCTTTTCTGACAACATAATAGATGACTTGCCCCAGATGACACAACTGGAGCACAGCTGGACAGATGGCAGGTAGAGCCTATCTTCAGCACCAAGAGCAGAGTGTGGGGCCAGCAGGTGGTATGGTAGTTAAGGTGCTGGATTCCCACATGATCCATGGTGGTATGAATCCTGGACCCAGTGGCTTGAAAGATCAACTCTGGGTGCATGTGTGTGTATGCACAGATAGGCCCATGTATAAAACCAGCCCCAGATATAAAACCAAAAGAAATGAAAATTCAAGAAAGCAATGAATGAAGTGGAGAAGAATGGAGAGGAAGGGATTGCGGCATGGTCATCCCATCTCGGGGGTGATTTCTCATTTTCCCTTTCTTTCTCTCTCCAGTGAGTACACATGCCCTATGGTAAAAGCCTAAAAAAACAAAACAAAACAAAGCAGAAAAACCTAGCAGAGTATGTAACACTTGGGCACGCTGAACAGCTGATTGCCACTCAACTGACAAATCCCATCACATTCATCACACTGATCTCTCACTCTATTGGCTGTCAGAAAAGTCATGACACATTTTTGCATAAAAAAACACGTCATGCCTTTTCCAACAACCCAATATATCTGGAGCATGACTTCAGTGTTGTGACTCTTAAGAGCTAGATAGTCACAGGGATGTGCAGAATAAAATCAGATGTCAGTTTATTATCTGTAAGAACCGTGGCCTTGTTAAGCAGGAATAACATGTAAATACCAAATCCCATCACTATAAATCAGACTCTAATGGTAAAAGAGCTTACAAAAAATTAAAATTGGGGGAACCAGCAGTTAGCGTAATGGCTATGTTGCTGGACTCCCATGTAGTTGACTACGGTTTGTGTCCCAGACCCAGTGGCCTAAATGCACGCCAGGTGTGTGTGCGTGCATGCCCAGGATCCCGAAAGAAGAATGGAGGAGAAAGGATTGTGGCATGGCCATCCCCGCTACCCCGTGGTGATTTTTCGCATCCTGTCTCTCTGTCTCTGTCTTTCTGGCGAGCGCACGTGCCCTATAACAGAAACCTCTCAAAAAAAAACAAATTAAAATTGGGTATGTTGGATCAGATAGGTCCATGTATAAAACCAAGCAAAATGAAAATTCAAGCAAGCAGTGAATGAAGTGGTTATATTCTGGCAAAGAGGTAGTCATTTCAAACCAGGAAGAAAGTTAGTTTATGTGTAAGTTGAAGGTAAGTCCCCAGTGCTGTGAGATCAGTCCTTTTGTAAGTGATGATCGTTTCTCTTCTACAGACTGTAAGTGGGCCTCAATGCATCCAATGTTGTCCTAAGAATTAATTTCTGCATTCTAGCCCAATCTCTCTGGTTGATAAACAACCTCGATGTGCCAACATGGTAAAACCTACCTGTACTACCTGCACCTTGCTTGACATGACATTCCTTAGTAGGTATCTTTTAACTATAAACTTAGAAATAAAGTAAATAAAACACATGGTATTTTTCATATTAAGTTTTTTTTTTTAAAGAATGATTTTATTTAACTTTATTTATTTATTCAATTTGACCAGAGAGGGACAGAGTAATAGAGAGAGAAATTGAGAAAGCAAGCCGCCAGATCCGGGACTCAAACCATGGTCAGCCATGTGGGAATCCAGCACCTTTAACCACCACAGCTATCTGCTGGCCCCTTTCATATTAAGTTTTAAAACAACCTGTGTATACTTGACCTTTAAAGGATTTACAAGAATCAAGAAAAGTTACCATAATTGACCCTTACTGTCACCACTGTAATTCAATCCCTTGTTAAATATTTCCTGGCATAAATATGACAATTTCTACCTCCAGATATTTAATCAGGTCAATACCTCTGGTGGATATTTACACTATGTCCTTTATTCCTCAATCACCCACTACACTTCACCTAAATCCCATCTATCCTTTCACCTTTAGCTGTCTGTCTCCCTACTACATAGTAGGGTAGCTAACAACTTTATTCTGTTAATGTTTATTTAGTACCAAGCACGGAACAATATTCAGGGATGATGTTTGCTCAACAGAGTCAATGGTTGACACACAGCAAGTTCTAATTCCACCTTCCCATAAGCCACTTGTCTCCTCTCCTCTGACGTAGCATTTGTGTACTGTGCACCTCTCATAGATTCATTGTATTCTCCCCTGTATTATCCTCAACACCAGACCTGCAGATCTATATTCTCATATCGCTCAAGATAATGCCTTACCAGAAAGTAATAAATACATTTTTTTTTTGGAGAGGTTTTTGCTATAGGGTGCGTGTGCTCGCCAGACAGACAGAGACAGAGAGAAAGCGAGAAATCATCCCCTAGGGGGGATGGTCACGCCGCAATCCCTTCTCCTCCATTCTCCTCTTGGGATCTTGGGCACGCATGCACACGCGCCCGGCATGAGTTTTAAGTCACCGGGTCTGGGATGTGAACCACGGTCGACTACGTGGGAGTCCAGCGACATAGCCATTACGCTAACTGCTGGTCCCACGCCTGGCATGAGTTTTAAGCCACCGGGTCCGGGACACAAACCATGGTCGACTATGTGGGAGTCCAGTGACATAGCCATTACACTAACTGCTGGTCCCCATAAATATTTACTGAAATAATAAATTTAAATTTATATATTTTATTATTTTAAATTTATGTATTTTAAATCTAAGTGGAATTGTCAATTAAATAGTTTGAGGTGTTTGAGTGAAGTAAGGGTATGGAACTCTCCCTCAGAGTAGTGATGGCTGAAACTGTGACAGGGCATGAGATCTTTTTTTTTTTTTTGGAGAGGTTTTTTTTTGCTATAGGGTGCGTGCGCTCGCCAGACAGACAGAGACAGATAGAGAGATAGAAAGCGAGAAATCACCCGCCAGGGGGGATGGTCACACCGCAATCCCTTCTCCTCCATTCTCCTCTTGGGATCTTGGGCACGCATGCACACGCGCCCGGTGTGAGTTTAAGCCACCAGGTCCAGGACTCAAACCACAGTCGACTACGTGGAAGTGCAGTGACATAGCCATTATGCTAACTGCTGGTCCCAGGGCATGAGATCTTTAAGGAGACATGGTAGAGACAGAGGGTAAAGAACTAAGGATCGATTCTTGAAATGTTGCCTTATTCATTCATTCAGTCAACACATATTTTTGAATTCTTATTAGGGTGTCAAGCATTAATGAAGTCTCTGGAGATAATAATATACAAGACTATGATTGTACTTCCACAAAAGTTAGAATGGGGAAGGTCACATGTAATTACAATAAAGTGCGACCTTAGTGTGCTAGGGGAAACACGAGAAGATACAGTGGCACACAGCAAGGGAGCTGTGGTAATCACTGGGGATTGTAAACACACTGGCTTTCTTTCTGGGCATGTGGTAGGACTATACTCCACTATTCCTTCTGAAGTTAGGCACAACTATGAGACTTATTGGCTTATGAACTCTAAGTGGGAATAGATTACTTTCTGAAAGATGCTTTAAGAGTCATGGCATGACTCGCTGTGTTCCTCTTCCTGCTTTGACAATCACAAACTCACATTTGAGATGGAGCCTCTATAATCTACAAATTTGAGTCTCTGAGAAACTACTGGGTCATCAGAAAAGCCATGACATATTTTCTATGGAAAAATGCATCATGACTTTCCTGACAACTCACCACAATGAGCCAAGCTGAACCTCTGTGCTATGACAGATATGCGTGGGTGAGAAATCAACTTTTATCATAGTGAGTCCCTGAGATACTGGGATGGTTCAGTAGAGACATTGGGACTGCTCAGCATAATCTAGCCTGTCCCTTTACTCACAAAGGGGCTTAGGGAATCAAGGCTGGATTCTTAAGTTTAGGAAGTGACATTTAAGCTGGGACGTGAAGGATGAAGAAGGGTGAGCTCATGAAAAGGGGAAGAAATTGCTAAGCAGGGTATGCCAAGTAGTAGGAAGCACAGAGATGGGGAGATTCAGGAGCCCCACAGGCACTGGCACACAGTCAGGAGGAATTAAGTGGAGAAGTGTGGTGTCATGGTGTGTGTGGGGAGTGGGGAAAGAGGTGAGCAGAGAGTGACACAGAAGCTTGGACACAG